CTTCAATAGTCAATAGGTATGTCGTTTATTATAGTTCCAAAATATTCTGAGTAGAAAATCACAGTTCAAAAGAAAAATTGAAGTAGTTTCGAAATATTCCGAAAAGCACTTATTTATTTTATCACGTGCTTTAGTGGCATGCCACCCTGGTATGCCTGCACGAGCTTTGGCAAATGGCATGCCACCTGGCACGCAAGGTTTTTTAGCCATGCCACATACCCTACAGTAAATTTTTGAATAAAAAAAAAATAATAAAATAAACTTACAAATGTTGAAATAAAAACTGCATTCGTCGAAAAAATTCCATCTCTATTGCTGAATCAAATGTTTTCGAAAAAGAGCTTACAATTGTCTCACGGAGTTTATATAATCCACCATCATCATCGTCAAGAGCAATCTAAAGCAAGATAATCAATAAAGAAAATACAGAGAAAGGATAATATAATTGAGAAAAATGAATACCTCAATGTATTCTTGCAGGATAGATTTTATATCCCTTGACACCTTCTCTTTCCCAACAAAATTTGATTTAATGTACTTTCTCAAGTTCTCAAGTGTGTCCCTGGAAAATGTTTTTACTTGCATTTCTGAGTAGTTATCCGTTCGTAATAAAAGAATATGAGAAAGGCTCCTAAATTTTCAAAAAAGAGATATCTTTTATCAATAAAATTATTTTTCCAGAAAATGTATCCTATTTAGAAGTTTTACTTACAATATTTCATGGTAATTTTTTGTTACCTTTAAACCAGAGGTTCGTGCGAGAGCTGATGCTTTGGATCGATATAATCCAAATAATGACGATATGTTCTTTTTTTCGAAAATGAACTATCAAACGGCCATTATTTAAAGAAAATATTTGCAGTTGATTGCTAAAAAAGAAAAGAAAAAAAAACTTACAGATTTATTTCCTTGATCAACATATTCATCGAACCCGATTTCGTCTACGTTTAGCCTTAACTCGCACTCCACATCATTTTCGTCAGATTCATCATCACTTTCGTCAGATTCATCATCACTTTCGTCAGATTCATCATCACTTTCGTCAGATTCATCATCATAATTCGTAGAAGTAGGTCCAGACTATCCAATAAGTTAGTTTTAAGTCAAATAAATTAAATATATTGATGACACCAACCTCACGGCCAATAGGAGTCTGACTATTGTTATTGGTAAAATCACTCTGTATCTCGTCCGTCTTTTCAGGAGTGGGTCGTTTTGATTGTGGTTTGTATGATACACTAACCACCGATATTCCTTCTGAGAGTATATGTCGAACATTACCTTCCTCAGATGCATAAAGTAAATCCAAGCTTCCTGCAAGATGTTTACGTTTTACTGATATCTGTTTTAAAAATGATAAATAATGGTAAAAAAAAGTGACAGAGATTTATTTATCTTTATAGCCAACTAAGGATACAAGTCAGTCAGAAGCCAATTACTAGATTTAGCGCTGATTTTTTTTCTTACCGTTACGAGATATTAATTAAATTTATTTATGATAATGATTTTGTTTATTGAAAGTAATAGAATTTCTCAAGAAATTAGATGATTTTTTGCGGTAATATTTATTTATTTTTAAAAATAAATAAATATCACTGCAGAAAATCATCGTCCCTGTCCAGAATATGTAAATTTTAGGACCGGTTAATGACCGGCCAGTATAAATAATATTCCAGAGAAAGTCTATCACTTACTTTCAATAACTTCCGGGAAAAAACTAGCATTATATTTAGTAACTAACTTCTAACCGTTGTGACCGACTTGTAACCAATAACGTCTTTAAGCCCGATTAATAAACTTTGCGTATCTTACTTGTTTCTTTTCTAGGATGATAGTCTCCCAATAGTCCTGAAATCTATTATTTGCAGTCTCTAATCTTACCTATTACAAAAAATTAAAGTAAGTTATAAGGATGAAAACCAAAACGGGAAACACACATTATAAAATTAAAGGCAAATCGCAATGGTGTGGCACAGGATGAGAGCTGATACTCCTAAGTCAGGATGAGAGCTGATTAGGAGCGCACATCACCATCACTCGGGCTAGGATGAGAGCTAGATAACTTTTAATCAGGATGAGAGCTGGCTAAAAGCCCCCTATTGCCAACTATCTATAAAATTAAAGGCAAATCGCAAATGGTGTGGCACAGGATGAGAGCTGATACTCCTAAGTCAGGATGAGAGCTGATTAGGAGCGCACATCACCATCACTCGGGCTAGGATGAGAGCTAGATAACTTTTAATCAGGATGAGAGCTGGCTAAAAGCCCCCTATTGCCAACTATCACACGATACAATAGTAAAATACTACCCTTTTTTCTATATCACAATCGTTTTCTGAACTCATCAAATTTGCTTCACGCAAAAAACGCCGTATCCAGGCACCATTCAAGCCTGTCCATTCGTCAAAGGCTGATATTGACTCTAATATAACATCACGATAGATAGTTAAAAATTCGGCGTAAGACCAGAATTTAGAGTCATGGGTCTTCAGGTAAGTGATAAGTTCTGGAATAGTTACTTGTAAGTTAAGAGTTAAGAGGATAAATTTCTACCTACAACTATACTTGCCGCCCAAATCCCAAACTTTGGCCAAACTAATCAATTGCTTTTGGGGTTTGGAAGTTGTCAGCAAGTGTACCTACATACCATTGTAGCCAAGATATTGATATTGATTCTTATTCATTGTTCATATAAAACAATCGCGTTAATCTGGTGTTTTTATGAATTTTTGGACGTGGCAAATCATGTGATAAACCGCCAATCAAATTATAGACCAAAAACAAAGGTCGAACTACCCCCAGGATCGCCAACAAAGTTTATAATAAATTTTGTGGATCACGTGATGATCTACGAAAATTAGCCAATAAAGCGGACGGTCTACGGACTAGTGGTGCAAACATTTCTCAGGGTAGTGACTACCCACGGCATTACGGCTATGACGCAGAAGTTGTACTACCTCAAGGTCATATTGCCGTTGAGTAGATTGTCGTGAGTAGTATACCGTTATACCGTGAATGAGGTAGTATGCCGTGAATGGGGTAGAATGCCACAGGGACGTGTGTTCGATGCAAGTCTAATTGCAAACATAGTGCAGGTCATATAGTGATGATCATTAGTCAAGCATTTTTATAATTACTGTATGAATATAGATAGCGTAAAATAGTAAACCATATAAAATTCAAATTGTAATAACATTTGAACCAGCAGACCTGCACAAATAAAATTATATCTATTGGGTTCGTTTTAACATGCTCTTTAAAGTAACAATGCTTGTTTTTTTTTTATTTTCATTGCTTGGAGAGTAGCGGAGAACTCAAAGTGATACCGTTATTGATGCATTTTTAATAAAAATATCAAAACATAACTTCGAATCTTATGTTTGTCGTCATTGTTAGAAAGTTCGGAGTTACACTTTTGACATTTTTTTTAAAGATGCATCAAAAATGAGAATTTTGGTATCATTTAGAGTCCACTCCTATTCTCCAAACGATGAAAATAAAAAAAATGCATTGTTACTTTAAAGAGCACATTAAAATGAACCTATTCGACCTCAATCACTATATAGTTCATGATTGAAGCTAAATTGGTTCAAGATTGTTTATAGCTCTCCCCTGATCGTAACAACGGCATACGGCACTTACACGGCATATGGCACTTATACGGCATACGGCGCTTATACGACATACGACACTTCCACTTATATGGCAAAAGTGCTGTATTGCCGTGGTAGTTGTGCTGAGGGTAGCTACCCCTCAAAATTTTAATGTCTGTACCACTACTATGGACACGTACCAATTCACATGATTTTGCACGTACCTATTATAAACGCAAAAGTTTCATTTTTGATAGATCTGTGGTTACTTTTTTGATAGTGCAGATCATACTCTAAATTTAGATAGCGTTCTTGATGCATCATATCCCATAAAATTTAAATTTTTTCAAGAATTTGAGTAAAGATATCTAGATGGTCGCCCAACCTAATTCAATAAAATTTTTTTATTTTGATTCGAC